CATAAAGAAATTGCACTGCAGCTCCATATCCATTAGTCTGAATCCATTAGTTTTCAAATGGCCCCCCTTCAAGAAGACAGAGTTTCTTCTGACCATAAATCTACCTCTTAAAAGCCTAATGTGACGCGGAGACACATATTTAGCTAACAGTTTAGCGCAGTAATTAGCGTTTGTGAGCTCTGTGCCGCTGCCAAGTGCCAGCCGCCCAACATCTGTTCCTCCGCGCCGGGCCGTCGCTCAGCAGGTGAGGGAACGCTGTTCCTGTTTGAAACGGAGTAAAAGGCGGACATAAAACAAAGGAAACAAAGCATCAGGTGTTGTAATGACCCCTAGGTTTTTGTTTTATTTTGAAGTGTTCTCAATCCGTGTCATATCTGTTTTAACTTACTGTCAGTGTGTGTTTTCACTTCCTTATTAGTTCCATCTGGTCCCATCAGCATACTTGCCAACCTTGAGACCCCAGAAATCGGGAGCATTTCAAAACCACCGCGGGGGGAGGGGTGGTGCTAGTGGATCGCCGGAGCTGTATTAGATTAACATTAACATGCTCACTGTAGTTGTAAGTGCACTGCCTTTCGGCCTGAAGCACCATCCTTGATGGAGCACATGTGTGTGTATGTGTGTGTGGGCTGGACCTGTATTTGACAGGAAAAGAGTGAGCAGAGGGTAGAGTTGTCGATTCTTGTTCTGTTTTCTGTGACTATCTCCCTCACCCTATCAGACTTTCAGTTGCGCGCGCTACTAAAGAGACGTGCTACCATGGAAACCAAACAATGGTGTAGCTGTATTAAAATCCGAGTGGAAACAGTCCTGAGTAAATCTGATTTTGTCAGAAATCGGGAGAAATGCGGGAGGAATATGACCCCGGGAGAGGGCAATGAAATCGGGAGTCTCCCGCGAAAATCGGGAGGGTTGGCAAGTATGCCCATCAGCCCTTAAAGCACCTGACCTCCTGTTCACCTGCACTTTATCGCCTCTTTAGTTCAGCCTGTATTCAAATCCTGCTCTTTTCTTGAGACATTATTTGATTCTTCTTATATATTAGGAGGATTTGTTCTATTTTGCTTCGTCTGGACCTGGACTGATGTAAAGGTATTTTGTTTTTCTGTTTTCCACGGTTCACAGCCGAGTTTAAGGCGGCTAGGAGAAGGATAAGCAACTCCACGTCTGAGGCCATGGTTCTAATGGAAACCATTGGACTGTAAACAAGTTCAAGTATCTTGTGTTCTTGTTTTCAAGTGAGGGGATAATGGAGGGTGTTCGGAGTAAGGGTACGGTATTGCAGTCGCTTTAATGCACCATTGTGATGAAGACAGAGCTGCACCAAAAGGCAAAGCTCTGAATCTACCAGTCCATCTTCGTTCATGTTCCCACCTATGATCATGACGGGATGGTCATGACCAAAACAAAGAGACTGTGGATACAAAAGGTCAACATGGGTGACAGGATAGTGGCTGGCATCTCTGTTAGGCATAAGGTGAGAAGTTCAGTCATCCGGGACAACTTGGAGAAGAGCTACTTTGCGTAGAAAGGAGCTAGTTTAGGTGGTTCAGTCACTTGGTAAGGATGCCGTCTGATTACTTCCCAAGGGAGATGTTTCAGGCATGTTCGAAGGCATTCCCGGGACCAGGTGGGGGGATTATATCTCCACGCTGGCCCCCGAATCCCTGAGTCAGTGCTGGTGGCTAGAAAAAGGGAAGTTTGGGACCTCTTCGACCCATCTTTGGATGAAGAGAGATTGATGGATAGAAGTTCCTTTGTCCTGCTTTTGGTACACCCAGCTCTGCTTTCCATGCCAGGTGTGTTGTGCATATGGATGTTTAAAGATAAATGACCTCATCTTTCAGTCACCTTGACCCATCTCCCATCAGCTACAATTAAACCCTGACTATCATGTCGGCCACCCACCCCCAGGTGTGGCCCATCAGCTACATTTAAACCCTGACTATCATGTCAGCCACCCACCCCCAGGTGTGGCCCATCAGCTACATTTAAACCCTGACTATCATGTCGGCCACTCACCCCCAGGTGTGGCCCATCAGCTACATTTAAACCCTGACTATCATGTCGGCCACCCACCCCCAGGTGTGGCCCATCATCTACATTTAAACCCTGACTATCATGTCGGCCACCCACCCCCAGGTGTGGCCCATCAGTACATTTAAACCCTGACTATCATGTCGGCCACCCACCCCCAGGTGTGGCCCATCATCTACATTTAAACCCTGACTATCATGTCGGCCACCCACCCCCAGGTGTGGCCCATCAGCTACATTTAAACCCTGACTATCATGTCGGCCACTCACCCCCAGGTGTGGCCCATCATCTACATTTAAACCCTGACTATCATGTCGGCCACCCACCCCCAGGTGTGGCCCATCAGCTACATTTAAACCCTGACTATCATGTCGGCCACCCACCCCCAGGTGTGGCCCATCAGCTACATTTAAACCCTGACTATCATGTCGGCCACCCACCCCCAGGTGTGGCCCATCATCTACATTTAAACCCTGACTATCATGTCGGCCACCCACCCCCAGGTGTGGCCCATCATCTACATTTAAACCCTGACTATCATGTCGGCCACCCACCCCCAGGTGTGGCCCATCAGCTACATTTAAACCCTGACTATCATGTCGGCCACCCACCCCCAGGTGTGGCCCATCATCTACATTTAAACCCTGACTATCATGTCGGCCACCCACCCCCAGGTGTGGCCCATCATCTACATTTAAACCCTGACTATCATGTCGGCCACCCACCCCCAGGTGTGGCCCATCAGCTACATTTAACCCTGACTATCATGTCGGCCACCCACCCCCAGGTGTGGCCCATCAGCTACATTTAAACCCTGACTATCATGTCGGCCACTCACCCCCAGGTGTGGCCCATCATCTACATTTAAACCCTGACTATCATGTCGGCCACCCACCCCCAGGTGCAGCCCATCAGCTACATTTAAACCCTGACTATCATGTCAGCCACCCACCCACAGGTGTGGCCCATCAGCTACATTTAAACCCCTGACTATCATGTCGGCCACTCACCCCCAGGTGTGGCCCATCAGCTACATTTAAACCCTGACTATCATGTCGGCCACCCACCCCCAGGTGTGGCCCATGATCTACATTTAAACCCTGACTATCATGTCGGCCACCCACCCCCAGGTGTGGCCCATCAGCTACATTTAAACCCTGACTATCATGTCGGCCACTCACCCCCAGGTGTGGCCCATCAGCTACATTTAAACCCTGACTATCATGTCGGCCACTCACCCCCAGGTGTGGCCCATCAGCTACATTTAAACCCTGACTATCATGTCGGCCACCCACCCCCAGGTGTGGCCCATCAGCTACATTTAAACCCTGACTATCATGTCGGCCACTCACCCCCAGCTGTGTCTCATCAGCATATCCTCAGCATATTCACACTGGTGGGGAGCTTCAGCACTTTCCTGTGTATACTGGATTTACTTCTCGCTCCGGCGGTGATAGATTTTCCATTCGTCCGTTTTGTGCCGTGTTGCACCATTGAGAGAAGCAGCGCATCAAGACTGTTGCATCTTCTGTCACTCCCCGTCGCACACCGTTTGCCCAATGCCATTTTATGATTTTTCTCTCCATGCTTCTCCATATTGTGGGGGTTCATTTAACCCTGAGAACTCATTGTTGAGGCAATAGAGGAGGGGGAAGTCTTTAGAGTATGCAGACAGTGTCGACACCCTCCCTTTTTGTTTTTTCTTCCTGTTTCCCTTTTTCTTTATTATTTAGCCAATAGCTTCGCTGTGGGCACATTTTCATTTCAGAGTTCCTGCCCCAACAGGAAGGAAGTTGGGGGGGGGAGGGGATTATAACAGAAGCAGAATGAAAGGGAGATAAAGGCGAAGGTGGTGGAACATAAAGTTGCTCTTATCGGAACTTGCCAGGAGCAATGCGCACACAAAGCTGCTCGGGAATCCAATTTAGTCTTTGCTGTTAGTTTAAGTGATATCAGCGCAATTAGCTGTCACAGGTCAGAGTGTGAGCCGGCCGCGCTAAGTGGTTTCCTTAAATCCCACCAGAGGAAGCGTGAGGGGACGTCAAGTCACCAAGAAAGACAAAAAAAAGAAGCCCACTCCACAAATGGACCACGTCTTTATATGCCCTGCTAATAAATGTCAGCCGCCTCTTTTGTCTTGCTCTTGTCAGCTGCTCACTCTGGATTTAAATTGATTTTCATCCTCAGTACGTCGACACGAGGGTGACTTTGAGACGTCGTCGTTTTATTTGTGCTTCGTGTAACTCAATTGTTCTGTATGTTGTTGGTTTTTGGGTGGGCTACAGAGGATCTCTACTTGTCGTGGAGGGCAAACCGAAGAAAAGCCCTTCACAAGAGCAAGTAGACAGAAGTGCATGGCTGGGAATATGCTACAATTCAATTCCAGTCTTTTCACAAATTGTTTAAAAGTGCAATCATAAGACAATGAATGTGTGAAATGAGAAAACCCGATTAACTCTGAAGTTTGAGAATACACAAAACAGAAAGTATTCAGTTCATTCATCATTCAGAAACATTTACACGTCAGAAAACACTAACGAAATGCCTTTAAAACTAATCTAACCCTAAATGGTCCCAACATTTGTTAAAACTATGTTGGATACAATTAACACAGATGTATGTCAAAGGGAAAATAATGGTACAAATTGAATGCATTTCAGCGTAAAGCAAATTGTGTTGCTGTGTTCTGTGTGTATGCTAATATGGGAGTAGAAATAACTCTTTCAGTTACAGTTGCTTAAAAATACTGAAACATAAAACCAGAACACAATCAAAAGTCAACTACTGACTAATTACGCTTTCTTTATACATTTTCTCAAACATTTCCTTACAGCCCTTTAAATCATTCGGCAATTAATTCCACTTCTTTACGCCAACTACAGGGACACACTTCTGCTTTAAAGTAGTACGTGCAAATGTATTTATTTATTGTCCCCTGTATTCAACCTGTGTGACTGTGATTAACTCCTCCCTCCTCCTCCTTCTGTCTCCTCCCTTCTCCCTGGTCTTTAGGGGAGATCTGTGCATTTAATATCCAAGGACTGGAGGCCCCGTTCGAGGCAGTGGTTCTGAACGGGACGTCCGGAGAGGGCCAGCTGAGGGCCCGGGGCCTGGTGGACTGCGAGCTGCAGAAGGAGTACACCTTCATCATCCAGGCCCACGACTGTGGCTCTGGCCCCGGGGGCACGGAGGTCAAAAAGTCCCACAAGTGAGTAATGGACATTCTGACCGTGTGTCTGTGAAGGTTTGAGAGGTCCCCTATTATACTGTTTTTCATTAATATATTACAGGTCTCAGATAAATACAGAGCCTGTCTCTGATTGGCTGAAACACCAAAAAGATCATTGCAGCATTACCCATAATCCCCTCTGTTTCAGCCCTGTTTCCAAAGTGCTGATTCTCTGGGTACACAAGACAAAACATCTTAAAGTGGCCAAAATCTGATCAGCTCATTTTCAGACAAGTTTTTATAGAAATGGATCAGGACAAAAAGAGAGAGAATCTTTGTTCCTGAAACTTTCAGAGTCTCTTTCCACAGAGGGGACACATGTTGATGTAGAAGAGACATGAAGAAGAGGGGACACATGTTGATGTAGAAGAGACATGAAGAAGAGGGGACACATGTTGATGTAGAAGAGACATGAAGAAGAGGGGACACATGTTGATGAAGAAGAGACATGGAGAAGAGGGGACACATGTTGATGTAGAAGAGACATGAAGAAGAGGGGACACATGTTGATGTAGAAGAGACATGAAGAAGAGGGGACACATGTTGATGTAGAAGAGACATGAAGAAGAGGGGACACATGTTGATGTAGAAGAGACATGGAGAAGAGGGGACACATGTTGATGTAGAAGAGACATGGAGAAGAGGGGACACATGTTGATGTAGAAGAGACATGAAGAAGAGGGGACACATGTTGATGTAGAAGAGACATGAAGAAGAGGGGACACATGTTGATGTAGAAGAGACATGAAGAAGAGGGGACACATGTTGATGTAGAAGAGACATGAAGAAGAGGGGACACATGTTGATGTAGAAGAGACATGGAGAAGAGGGGACACATGTTGATGTAGAAGAGACATGAAGAAGAGGGGACACATGTTGATGTAGAAGAGACATGAAGAAGAGGGGACACATGTTGATGTAGAAGAGATATGAAGAAGATGGGACACATGTTGATTTGGAAGAGACATGAAGAAGAGGGCACACATGTTGATGTAGAAGAGACATGGAGAAGAGGGGACACATGTTGATGTAGAAGAGACATGAAGAAGAGGGGACACATGTTGATGTAGAAGAGACATGAACAAGTGGATTTTGCATGATAGGTGACCTTTAACATCTGGTCTGAGTGGAATTTCTTGTTGTTTATTTTTAATTTCTGAGTTGTGCCATTTTTTTAAAGCACTTTCAGCTGCACGTGATGTATGAAAAGTGCTATATAAATAAAGCTTTATTATTATTATTATTCACGTGACTATTTTTAAGAGCGGGATTTCTAGGATTTACTTTTTAACTGATCCGTTTAATCTATCCAGTTTCACATCCAGATGTTTAACAGCTGGTCTGCAGTGCTAAACGTTGTAGTTTTGCAATAACGCCTCGGAAATTGTGAGATAACTACGTTTTTCCCCCAATTATTTTCAAATGGGCAGAATGCAAATTACTCTCCCTTGTCCATAGTTACCATTTCTTCCTACAATAGTGATCGAAACACATTTTAATGGCAAAACAATTCTAAATGATCTGATTTCCTTATGGGAATAAAAGGAGTGCGGACATCTTTGTTTGCTTACACTGAGAGAAAGTTGACAATCATGTCATGCTGGCCTGAATAAGGGAACAAACTAAGCCATATGTTAATTTCAGAGGCATCATTGTCACACCACTACATTTTGAGCTATTGACTAACATAGCCTTTACATATTTGGATGTCAGAATGAGTTGGTCTACCTAAACACAGGACTTGATTGAATATAACACAATGAAACACTGGAGATTGAAGTTAAAGATCATATTGTTGTACACACAGTATAGGAGACAGAATACTTGCAACAGGTCGATCTGGGGCATTGAGGTGTTTGAGAGAAAGGATTAGACAATCAGATGTTCATATGGTTACATTTCATCCTGTAAGTTTCACCTTTCTTCAGCAAGAAACATACTACAGCATTACGACAGACAGGTTTTCCTCTAATCTAATCTTTACTGATGATATAACCAATAGTTGTTAGCCCTGCTATTGATTTAATCATTTGTATAATCACAACATCCTACAATGTGTTTCAAATGAGTATTGTTTTCAGCTCAGACCTGGATTGCCTTTGTGAAGTTGCTGAAAAGAAAAGGCAACCAAGGACAAGGCAACAGACAATTAAATAAACAAGATGTTTCATAATTCATATACAAAAGCCTGGGCTAAATTATGTAAAACTACAAGTACTTTTTGTATAATTCATCGTTCAATTGGCAATGGCTTAATTCCAATCAAATGTTCAGCTGTGTTTTGAAAACCGTGGTCATTTAGAACGTTAAATAGTTTATTATACTGTTACAAAATAAATACAAATTACATAACTAAGGATACAAAGGGTAGTGTGGGGCTGCCAGAAAAATACAACAACATGCGTCAAAGACATCCCAATCTGGTTAAGGGGGACCTATCATGCAAAACGCACTTTGTGATGTCTCTTATTCATAAATATGTGTGCGTCGGGGAACTCACGCAGCGTCAGAAAATAAAACCTTCTCTCTTTTCCTCCGTACCCAAATCTTTTAAAAACGGGTGTACAACGAGTGGATACAGATTTCCATCCGCTGTGACGTCATAGCGGCGGCGGACCCACAGAAAGTTGCTATCAGAAACAATCCCTGACGTGTTTAGGACGTCTTTGTTTACATTAGCAAGCCTCGCTAACACTCAGAGCTAACCTGTACTGGAGAGCACATGTGTTTAAAAAGCAGGAAATAAAAAAAGGAACTCACCTTGTGATAAACCCGCAAGATAAAAAGCATTTGAGCTCCATACTGTTTCAGACATAATCCTTGACGTGGTTTAAACAGGATGGCGTTTTATCACAGCAGAATTTAACTTTATCTCCGGTAGAATTCTGATTAGGCATTAGCTCCGCCTCCTCTTATTATTTGTTTTCAAGCTAAGGACCCAAGATCCGTGTTTCTCTCATACCTCATTCACACCAACGCAACTCCGGTTCAAGCTCCATGCTAGAGCTTTTCAGGTTCAGAACCGGTTCTTCGGTTTAGCTCCGGCTCTTTTCACACCGCCCAGAGTCCGACTGGTGCTGCGTCATTGCGTCATCATTTGCGTCATGACGTAACCGTTTGCGTGCCTGCTTCATAAAGCCAAACCGCGCGGAAACCCCTCACAGCGACAACAATGGCCGATTGTGCTCCAGCTTCCTCTGTACCTCTTCAGAAGACCAGATTCCCAGTAGGTAGCTGTTCTCTTCAGTGGACCACTGCTGCTTGTTAAGTTTCTCCATCGTTTTGTACAAACTGGATAAAACGCCGGCTTTTTGTTGTTGTTCAGGAGTTGATCCCGCCCCTGCCCCCGCCTCGACGTAAGCGTGACGTATGCGGTGCTTTTGCTCTGGCCGGACAATTTTTTGGTGCTCGAAATGAACCGGATTCCGGAGCTAAGAGGCTGCTCTGCTGCGGTGTGAACAGGAAAACCCCGTGCTTTTCAAGCTCCTGCTCCGAACCGGCCCTGAAACACCGTTGGTGTGAATGAGGTACAGAGGTAACATCTGTTTGGTATTTTGAAAAAAAAAACTTCACTGACATGTTTTATATAGGTATGGCCCTACAATATATTTTTCAAATATAGCATGATAGGTCCACTTTAAGGGAACTAGAAATGTTTCTAGTTAGTATTTTATAATAAAAGCACAATCATGTAAAGGCTCTTTAGATTAGTCCATAGTCAATTTGCCCAACAGAGATCCACATTCAACCAAATGCAATCATGCAATCAGCCTCACAGCAAAAAGCCTTAGTGTGTGCAAAGGAAACATTCATTCATTGTCCTATGAAGTCTGACGTACACATATTTCTGTCACATGATTTTCTCTAAGGTAGATTCTATTTAGAAATGACCTTTAATCATGATATGCACATCATAACTCCTGCCTGCACCTCTTTTACACTTAGTAAAGAAAAAGAAAAACACAGAAAAAGTCAATTTTACTGATTGTGTCACACGGGTAATGACTTTTACCGTTAAGTTCATTTGAGTAACAAAGTAATGAATACAAAAAAAGACTGCACTAAACCTGCCAGAAATCATGTTATTTTGTGTGTTATTGAAGAATGAAGGTCCGGGCATTAACCGCACGTCCACACGGCAGCGTGCGTTGAAGCTTGCCGGTGGGCGTGTCTGGCGTGCGACCAACAACCAATCACATTAATCTCCCGCCCCGGACACACAAGCACGCGGTTTGATTGGCTAGCGCTTGTACTGGCATATTATTTGATTGGCTTCCGTCGACGCTTGAGAAGTTGAACTTTCGAAGCGAGCAACGGAGGCAAAGCGACGCGACGGAACCACAATGCAGTTCGGCAAAGCGTGACGTCACCCCATTCAAAGTTAATGGGAAGCGTCTCCGTTGAAGCAACGCACGCTGCCGTGTGGACGGGCCGTAAAAGGCCTTCTACTGTGTCTTCATTGGACTCCTTTGTTTATTTCTAGAACATAGTCACATCACTAGGTAACACTCACGCTCCTATTGGCTAGCACATTGAACATGATAGGCTAAGAGTCGGGACATCTTTAAGCAGTTGACCAATCACAACAGAGCCGGCCAGCTAACCAATCACCCCCTCAGATCTGTACAAACTGTGATATTGCATTCAAACAACCTCAAAAAAATGAATCATGCAAATCTATCACCTCCAGCAAATATGGAGAGCTTCTTCGAGTGCTGCATTTAGAGATGATAAGATTAGATTCAAAATAAACTGCTCCAGCAGTCTTGAAGGAAGTTACTCCCACAAGTTAAAGTGCACAATTATACCTTCCTCCCACAGAACATTGTTTTAAAGATGCCTCTCAGACTCAACATTTGCAAAAATCGCTGTGAAGACAAAGTGTGTGTTCACCTCTCTCTCCTCCTGCTGACCACTTGGCTTCAGGGTAATCCCAGATACAGCACAACACACACCTCCACATGACTGCAGTAAAGGGG